TTAAATTCGGGACACAGCCAAGGGGATTTCATTTACCATCTGAACTCTGGTGCTTACAGACTCGCATAAAATTTACGGACAAATATCACATGCGTGATTTCGTTAAAAGGAATTTAAGACTACATGTTCTATGGAAAAAGTAATTATTTTCGACACCTGTAATCCTTCTAGAAGATATAATATTTATTCCGAGGCACTTTTTATAAAACACTGGGAAAGAGAACTGTAGGGAGGCCTAGGAAAGGGCAGCTGAAGTGATCAAATGACTACTTCTGCAAGTGAACAGTTGGACGGATTTTAATAATACGATTTTATGCGTATTTGATAACAAGCTTACTCAGATATGAAATTTTCAGTTATATTTGCAGTTGGCTGGAAATTTGCCTCTAATAATGTTAGCAATTTGTTGTGAGTAAAATAAATTCATTATCAATAATGGAGCGCTCAAATGTAGGAACTGCAAAATAGAAACATTTCAAAAGAACAGTAAAAAATTTCCCCTTTTCACACTAACGTCATTGTTGATGGAAGGTTTTTATTCGAGTTTTATCTTTTTCATAATGATTGTTCATCAAAATAAGACATCAAAATCACATAATATTTACTTTATACTCAAATGAGCGATGTGGAAATATAAATTTGCCAATAAGGTGTTGAAAACTTAATAAGATTTTTAATTTAGTTTTTATTTTATTCTATTTTTAAATAATGGCATATAAATTAATTATGTGCCTAATTATACGGTTCTCTACAACTAAAGTAATTTTATCTGCACGTAACTTTATATAGAATGGTTTTAACATAACACTATCGCAGAATACAAACTTTTTGCTATCATTGAAATAAATCAAATTACAAAAATGAAATTCAATCATTTTCCAAGGCCAGGTTTTCGTTGGAGTTAAAACGTTTTGTCAAAAAAATTACAACTTCTCGAAAAATCCTCTCGGAACTAAACTGCCCTTCGTTGGTCGGTGACCAAGGATTCAAGAGGACGATATCGTCCTGACGAAGGAGGCGTGGCGATTGGCTGGATGTCGGCCGTGAGACGGGAAAGAGAGAGCTCGTGCGAATAGCGCAGGATTTCCGGCCCCTTCGTTAACAGCTCGGTGCAAGTGGCGAAGGGTTGTTTGCACGAACTCTCGCCGCCACACCTATTACGGCTTACTATTTTCCCCCTGTTGGTAATTGGGAGACAATTACTCTATTTGTACACGGAAGAGACTTTGCATGTTCTCCTTGTGAGAAAGCAAAGTACGAGAGCGAAACAGCGTCCTAGGTTTTTAATGTTCCGTTCTCCCACGTCCTTATTTGTAAGACGCGCTACTCGAGTTTTGATGTTCATCTTTTTAACAGGATACTAAAATTATATTTGACGTCCCATGCCTTATTAGAGATGAATCCGTCAGTCTTCAGGACAATTCATAATTTCCGCCGTTCGCCTTTAATCGTACCTCAGGTTCCTTTTCGGAAATCTGTATAGGATGTTGTATATAAGTACGTTTTTATTTTATCATCTTAATTTAATTAATGTATAGAGTAAATATATTTTAAAACGACAACAGTAAATAATTTTTTTCCAAAAAGAGAACTTGGATGAGACAAACTGGTTTGGAAGCACCGTCTTTTTTTTTAATATCTACTTGCTTTCACCACGTCCGTAGTTTAGGCTTCATCTTATTGGCCCGCTGGGGGATACTTCATTCAAGAAGGCTCTTTATGGGCGCAAGGGGCAACGCCCCCGTCTCCCAGCACACGCTCCACCGCCGCCTCGCCTCGCCTCCCCTCGCCCTCCTTCCGCACAGCCCGGTCCCATCCCGCCACGCCGCGCCACCACACCGCCTCTCCC